GTCAGGCAGGTATCATCTCAAGCCTCTTGAAGTCACACTTCTGACTTCTTATTGAAGTTTCCAACGTCTTGACGTTATTCCAGATTGAACAGCTGGCTGAAACTCTGATATCTCTATTTTGGATGCATATGTTCAGGTCTTTGGGACAAAAAACAAAACCCAAGTTTGCTTACTTCTATTTTTTTAATTTTTTTATTTTGGTTACAGCTTGATGCCACACCGTATTTTCAGTACAAGTATGGCATTTTCAGCATTGATATCGGTAGCCCAAATTTTGCAGGTCGACCATAGATATCGGGTGTGCGTCGTCGAACCCCGGACCATGTGCATGGTCGGTGAGAGTCCTAACCACTGTGCCACCGACGCACTACTGATTGTACAAAATTAACCGCATCTGTGTCATGAAATACTTAAACTTTTTTGCATGGACACTTGCTGATGGTAGGGATAGTGCTGAAATCAAGAGCAGAGAACTTCATACCTGATTGAATTATTTTAATAGTTATCTCTGTGTGCTGTTTGACTGAATAGATTCATTAGAATAAGAAATGATTGTGACATTCAATGATGCCTTTTCTTGATATCGACTCACTTATTCATTGACTTCTGTTAAATAGAAGTGAAGGATGAATTTCATCACAAGTTGTATCAGTTGGGGAAACAATCTTTAGATGTTTGTGGAGTCTTACACCAGTGAACGGACAGTTGTAATTGCCTCTTAGAATTCTGTCCATTTTTTGTTACTTGTATCCGACTAGCATTAGTTTCAAATATGTGGACAGTTGTACAACAAGGCTGCATGCCAAGTAATCCACAACGGGAAACTCACGAAATCCTTCGAAGTGAAAACGGGAATAAGAAAAGCCGGTTGCCTACTATCGCCAATGATTTTCCTGATTGCAGTAGACTGGATAATGCGACAGACAGCGGGGAATGAAGAAACAGGCATAAAATGGACTCACACAAAATATTTGGAGGATCTGGACTTCGCCGATGATATATATCTGATTTCCCACAGACTGGAAGATATGCAAGTGAAAAGCAACAAGTTGGCAGAAGAAGCATCAAAGATAGGAAGGAGTTCAGGTGAACATAGAGGAAACAGATGTGATGAAGATTCCTGGCCAACAACAACAGACAACAATAAGCATAAATGGCAGGGAACCTGAAAGAAACAACCTCCTTTACCTACCTACCTGGGAAGCATCGTTTCAAATACAGGCCGACGGAACTGACGAGGATATCAAAGCAAGAATCGGGAAAGCAAGACAAGCTTTCACTACTCTCAAGTCTGTGTGGAGGTCAACAGCACTCAGCATCAAAATCAGAATAAGATCCGGATTTTCAACTCCAATGTGAAGTCACTGCTACTATACGGATCAGAGACTTGCACTGAGCGTCATAAAGAGCATCTCAAACAAACTACAAACTTTCATCAACAGCTGTCTTCACTCAATACTACTCTAGATCAGATGGCCGGCCAGAAAAGATCAGCAACAGGGATCTCTGGCAATGAGCGAACCAACCTAGCAGGAACCGATTGTGAAACAAATAGGCAGGGAGAAATGGAGATGGATTGGCCATACTCTGAGGAAACCATCAAGTGAGTGACATCACTAGACAAGCCATCGCTCGAGTGAAACCCGAAAGGGAAGCGGAGGGTTGGTCATCAGTATGAGGGTGACTTGAAGGAGGTCATGTGAAAAGGAGATGAAAGCATGAGGACAGACTTGAAGCCAGGTGAAAACTCTAGCAGAGAACCGAACGCAATGGAGACACGCGCGGCTCTTCTTATAAAGTAAATTGTCCTGAAAACAAACCACCTTTTTTAGGATTCCTGTATCTCTTTATACGCAGGTTTCCACATGCATTTCTCTCCTTCACTTAGACACTGTTTTTCTCACTATATTATTGAGCGTGCGTCGGTGGCATAGAGTTAGAGTGCTCGCCGACCACGCCTGTTGTCCGGAGTCAAATACCCAACTGACGCACTCCTTTACATCACTAAGCCAGTAATAAAACTAGTAAAGAGCGAAGGTTATGCATGATGCTGGCTAGCAACCCCATCCTGTAAAAATAATCACCACTGCTACAGAAACTTCAAGCCTCTAGTTTGAAGCCCTATGTTCCACTGGGAACGTAAAGGAATAAAAAATTTTAAAACAATATTATTCAGCAATACAATGATGTCCACCAAAGCAGTGTTTCTTATTTAATAAATAGTTTTCTTCATGATTGCCCAACTTAAATTGAGATTTACATAAAGTCATAGCTTTACTTAATTGCTTACTTTAAATATCGAAATGTATTCACTAACTAAATCATTGCTTAATCATTGATTAATTAAAATTATTTATCGATCTAACTGATCGATTCTCAGTTGGAATTTAGAATAATTAATTCCAAAGTGCACAGATTTGATTCTATGCTTACAGGTAGCGCTTATACTTGTCTTCATAGTTCAAGTCTACAATATGGTATGGTAGTGTGTGATTTTTCGGTCTTTTATTTTGTAATATAAAGGACATAACTGTTCGCTTCACGTACAACCTCGACAAAAAAAGACATATGGTTGTGTAACTTTTCTAATCTATGAAATATTTAAAAAATATCGCACTAGGTAACATTGTTCTATGTCTCAAGTAGGTATTTGAAATTTTAAAGAAATTACATGTCATGAAGTAGTATAACTTGAATTAAGCAGAGCCAGGGTTCGATCCCCGGCCGACACACTCCTTTACCTCGCTGAGCCAGTAATAGAACTGGCAAAGAGGAAAGGTTAGGCATGAGGCTAGCAACCCCATCCCATAAAAATAAACACTACTACAGAAACTTCCAGCCTTTAGCTTGAAGCCCTATGTTCCACTGGGAACGTGAAGGAATAAAAAAAGCAGAACTAAGAAGTACAAGACCCTTTCTTCCCATTTTAGTAATCATAGCATTGTTTTAACTTTTTTTTCATTAATGAAATTTCAACACAAACCACCTACAAATTGGTCAGTAATCCTTTTCCTGACCAACTTAGTTTAAATCCAATGGTTGATATTTTCCAATTTCATACAATTCATAACATTTATTATTATTAGTAGTAGTATTATCCCCTTGGCTTCCGAGTGGAACATAGATCTTCAACTACACATCTCCATTTCATCCAGTTCGCTTTATCTGGCCCCAAAATCTCCCATAAGCTCTCACTTCCTCCTCAAATGAACGTCTCCATGTCACCGTCCCGTTTGGGTTGCACTCGAGGGTCTGCTATGCGGTGTCATCCAAAGGTTAATTCGTTACATATTGTGACTAAATGCAGTTATTCGATAATTGATTCCTGAACTGCCACCTACTTAGCAGAACCTTGAAGCATTGACCACCTGGCTGATCAACTTTCAGCTGTTGATTTACAGTTTCCAACTGTGGTCTCACATGCATAGATGTGAGCATTGTCTATGGTCTTCAGACAATCGATATATATCTCATTGTTTATACGTGCTTGTTAAGTTGCACACCCTTGATCGACAAGCGCTTAGTCAATTTATTAGAGAAGGTGATGAAAAGGAGTATTTGAGTGCATGGTCCCAATAACACCCATAAAATGAATGAACCTAATACACTAAAACTTCCTGAAAAATGACCCCGTATTTACTGTTTTAAATTAGAAATTCAGTAGACCTGTTGTTCAGCCTTCTTACTAATTACAGGATTTCATCATGAGCTGACATTGGTTAGAGAACCATTGGAAAACCTGGGAGTACTAAACAGCTGTTTCTGTTGTCCTAGTTTGGGACTCTTCACCAGTAGGCACCCACCAACAGAAGGTTCGAACCGAGGACCTTCTGGTTGCAAGACGAGCTCGTAGACCATTAAACCACTGGAACGCAATCCAATGGTCCATGAATTCTAACTTTTGCTAATTCACGATATAGCGCAACCGCTAGCCAATGTCTTCGGCGAGTATTTGTCCTAACACGCGACCTGCTGCACCCTACTGCTGAAGAGTCCCAAATTAGGACGAAACAACTGTCTGGTAGTACTCTCAGGTTTTCCAATGGTTCTCTAACCAATGTAACCTCATGATGAAATCCTGTAACCAATCAAATCCCTACAAATTGTTTCAAAATAATAATAATAACATAAAGGCTATTGTTCAATGTGGGCACGGAAATTACATCTTTAGTTTTTTGTGCATCAGTTATTTTGGAATGGTAGATGACCAACTGACTAACTATAAAGAAAGGAAAGTATGCTGAACTATTTCTAACTTCAGCATGCAAATTTAGATCCATTGTTAAGAAAACAAAGCAAGTCTGTTTTCTGTAGGCTATCTATAGATTGGAATTTTTCCCTTCATAGGAATTTGCTGCGTGATTGATCGGTTGGTTATTAATTCCCTATTTAAGGGCAGACATCATCAACTGTGGTATCGGTAAAAACCAACAAAAAACAACTATTGATTTTGTACTACTGTTAATTTTCCACAAACTATAAGGCGATCTTTCCACTGTGTGTGTATGTATCCTGTAGTATTTTTTATATAAATTTACCATTTGAAAAGTTGAACTTTCTTTATTATGATTCTTCAGCAGCAGGTCGGGTGTGAGGACAAATACTCGCCAAAGAAATTGGCTAGGGGTCGCGCTATGTCGTGAATTGGCAGAAGTTAGAATTCATGCACTGGCCATTGGATCGGGTCCCAGTGGCTTAATGGTATACGAGCTCACTGGCCTTGTAACCAGAAGGTCCTGGGTTCGAACCTTCTGTTGGTGGGTGCATACTGTTGAAGAGTCCCAAACTAGAAAGAAACAGCTGTCCAGTACTCCTTGCAGGTTTTCCAATGGTTCTCTAACCAATGTCAGCTCATGATGAAAATCCTGTAACCAATCAAATCCCTACAAACCAACACTTGAATTATTTGACTCTCTCTGTCTCTCTCAAGTTGAACATTCATAAGAAATGTACATGTACACAATCCTAACTAGTATGTATATATGCTTTTCTTTTTCCAGGTAACACTCTATCAAATTCAGTCGATTATCTAGACAATGAAAGTCCTACTGAAGAAGGTTCACCTTTAAAAACTGAAGATATGCATGGCAACCCAGTAGTAGATGGAAGTGATAAAGTTAGATCTCCTTGGCATACAAAAAGATCAAATCAAAAGAAATTAAAAAGTCCAAAATCAATACGTTATAAAAATAGACTACGAAATATTGTGAATAATAATAATAATAGTAATAATAAAACTGAGCTACTTTGCAATGGATTATTATCTCCCAGTAGAAATGATTCCATTGTGTCAAAGAAATCGGTAAGAACATCTCAACTTATAGTTAGCATTTTTTTCTTGTTGTTGGTAGATTTAGTTCATGTATTAGAATTTTGGACTTTAACTATTCTTAGCGTGCTCTAATTTTTTTATAAATCCGTTATACTGTGTAGACTCAGTGCGATAAGAAAAGAAAGGAGGTTTCCTATCAGTTTTAACCTCGAAACGATGATAGGTCAAGAATTTAGTTTAATTAAGTCTGACGCTCACTATTCTCCTTTCTATAATTAGTTGTCAAGTTAATTTCCCCCCCCCTCTCCCACTGCTTGTATGTATGTTGATGAGGCAACATTAGTTATTCGTCCCATAACTTTAGGATTCACTTACATAACCTTTGACAGTCAACGAGATTGGAAATGTGTGACATAAGTATATAAAGAGACGTTCATCGGCATAAAAACATCAAGTAGCACGGAGATAGATTTGATGTCAGAGAAAACAAATGATACAGCGTTGTGGAGATACATGGGAGACGTGAAAGGAACACAAAGAAAGAGACACAATTGAAAACCAGAGAGGACTGAACAGCTGCTGTTTCATCATCTAACTGAAATCAATCCGTGATCAACTCGTAAAAAGATAACTAACCCTTACAAATCAAACTATAGAAAACATCTATTTAGACTAATTGCATCTATTGGTAAATAAGTGCGTCTGTCGCATAGCGGTTAGGACGCTCGCCGACCATGCACATGGTCCGGGGTTCGATCTCCGGCCAACTCACTCCTTTACCTCGCTAAGCCAGAAATAATGCTGGTGAAGAGGAAAGGTTGGGCATTAGGCTAGCAACCCTATCCTGTATAATAAACACTGTTACAGAAACTTCAAGCCACTAGCTTGAAGCCCTATGTTCCACTGGGGAACGTGAAGGAAAAAAATTGGTAAATAAACATGTAGCATAACGCAACACTGAGTTAGTGAGAGGTAACAAATAATAAATATTTTAACAATAAAGCCTTCAGTTGAAAGAAGATAGCAGTCACTTTTATCAATGTGTTGAACTGAATAAACACATTATAATGATTTTTGTGAAGTTACCTGTTTAGTTTACATCCTACAGTAACAGAAAGTAACTAAACTAATGATGCGTTGTAGATAAGGTGTAAATAATTTGGTTATATAGAGATATACCAAATTGCAAATGAACATTCCTTTACCAAGTCTTTCGTCTTCTACCGTTGCAGAAAAACTTCAGTAAAGCTTTTGATTAAATTCAATTTGCACCATTTTGACTATAATTAGTGTGCAATCATTCGTTCATATAGAGATGCTTGAGTCGAAATGTGACTTATTGACGCGTAAGCACTCGACTTTCAGGCCGTAAGTCCCTAGGCTCTGGTCCTGTTTCACTACTTCAGCATGGGCATATAGAGATAATGTGATCAGACTTCATACAATAATTGTGGGCTCCATAGCCTAATACTTAAGTAATCTGCTCCGTGTAAATGAATTCTAACTATCAATGCTTAAATGATGAAACACACTGTATTCCTTATAAATCTCATCCATCGGATCCGTTTTTATATTCTTTAGCAGAAAAGAAAGAAATGTACAGATTTGTAGAAGAATTGTTGGTCTTATTGAATTTTATTTTTGATGATGGTTAAGCTTCACATATGTTGCTTTTTACTACATGATATATATAATAACTTAACAAAGAAATTTGTTGACAGTGATTAGCCTTCCATTTTACATTACGTAATAGCAGCATTTCTTAGATAGACAGAAGCACATTTTTTGTAATATATGCTTGTGCTGATCAAATCGCAACTCTACGCATCATCATCACCGAGCAAAGCATAGAATGGCAGTCAAACTTGTACCTTAACTTCGTCGACTTCAAAAAGACCTTCGACAGTGCAGTGTTGACTGGGAAGTAATTTTGAAACTGCTCAAACACTATGGCGTACAGTGCCCAAGTCTTTATCAATCTCATTCACCGGCTGGCTAAATGACAATGCCACGTGTCAGGTGATCCACAGGGGGAAAACTCAGCGAGACATTCAAAATGAATACAGTAGTAAGACAAGCGGACTGTTTATTATCACCGATGACATTTTTAATTGTAGTGGACTGGATTATGCGTTAGACTCTGATGAACGAGGAGACAGAAATACGCTGGATCGATAAGAAGATTCTAGAAGATCTGGATTTCGCAGATAACTTATGTTTAATGTCACTCAAAGACTTGCAGACGGAAACCAACAAACTGTCAGAAGAGTGTGGCAGCGAAGACAGGACTGCAGGTGAACATAGAGAAGATAGAGGTGATGAAGATAACCAGCCAACAGCAACAACAACCAGCACCAACCAACATCCACGAAAGAGATTTGACAGAGGTTTCTTCCTTCACTTATCTAGGCAATAAGCATTGTTTCAACCACAGGCAGTCAGCACTGATGAAGATGTCAAAGCCAGCCAGCCAGCCAGAATAGAAAAGGCAAGATACGCCTTCATCGACCTGAAACCACTTTGGACATCTTCTGCACTAACTCAGCCAGTATAAAGAACAAGATTCAGATTTTCAAAACCAATCTCAAGTCAGTCAGTCCTTCTATATAGGTCAGAAAATCACACTGCGTGTCACAAAAAGGATTTCCAACAGGCTGCTTCAGACTTTCATCAACAGCTGCCCACTTCGCTGGCTGGGCCGCATACTGAAGATCAAATAGCCAATGGAAATAATTAGCAACACAAATTTCTGGCCACAAACTGAGCAAGAGCCGATCGCTCAACAAATATGTAGGAGAAAATGGAGATGGGTGGGACACACTGAGGAGGCCGTCAAACAAAATCGTGTGCAAGGCAGGCCGTAGCTCGAGCGGAATACCAATAGGAAGCGACGAGTAGTGGGTTGTCGGTGCGAGGGTAACATGGAGGAGATCGTGTGGCGATGAGGAGATGAGTTATTATTAACAATCATGGACCCCGCTTAAGAGGACAGCAAAAAATCAAAGAAAGTGAAAATGTGTTGTTGAAGCCTTATGTTTCACTTGGAACGCAAGGGAATAATAAGGATAGAGGATATTTTTATAACTTCGTATTCATTTCGAGTGATGATCAACAGCCGTAGACCCAGAAAAAAATAGTTTCCGTCGTAGTGGTTTATTTTAAGTATATCAGGTTGAGGGCGATGTTCTACTGGTATTAGAAGTTGACAGTGACAAACCACACCCCACTCTAACATGGAAGAGTTTCAAAAGATTGACCCCGTAAGATTTTACATCTTAACTTATCTATGTAGTCTATCCGTAGACTACACCTAACGTGTTCATACAGACTAAACTATAAACTGAAACACTTTTTAACTGGTGGTCACGTTGTGACCTCAGCCTCTGCCAAATTATTCCTTTTTTTCAATTTCGATTGCTTCAAGAAGAAATGCGTTTCACATGATTCAAGTTGCCGGAATAAGTAAACCATGTTAACATTCCTATCTGCACTTGAGTCACGTGTGGGGTCCTATTGCTTTCTAAATTGTCATTAATAAGTGTTAGTTGTGTTACCTTGAATTCACGCGCCTCGGAATTCTTGTTCACAAAACGACATTCTAGTCTCCAAACTATATAGCGGTTAGTGACAAATGTTCATGAGTTCTTATCTGCTAATTAATAAAATACATAATATGTTCATTTTTTTTTGTTGTTTAATGTTAGGACTGTCTATCCAATCTTTATACTACTGATCAACGCCTCCTTAATGCTGCTGATACTGAGTGCTACAATGGCTCAAATGATTATCTGTTAAGACATGAACAGGATATTGATATCTCCCTTCCATTCAATCCTCGTAGACGAAATACCTTCCCTGCTCACTTATTATCGGATAACGAGAGACGACCAACCGAGTCGATAGGTCTCACAAATCTGCACCACCACCACCCTTGCCTCCTACGGCATGATCACCTTTCACCAAATCATCTCTCTCTGTCTAATTGTAACGGAGATACTAAACTGTCAGCTGACTATTCAGAAAAGCAAAAATCACTCCTTATGAATGGTGATGATTTGTCATTATCTCAGTTGCATAACGAAAATTTGATAGAACACAATCGATCTAGAGATAAGTTGAATCTAAGTTGTAACACTCTTCTTCATGAAGATTATGAACGAAGTCAAGTAAGTTTTTCTTTTCTTTTCTTTTTGATAATGTTCACTATAATAGTCTCTGAAATATCATGAAGCAAAGCTTGTTGTGTCATGAAATTTCACCCATTTAGCTAGCCTACATTAGAAATAGGAAGTGAAGTGGTAAAGCACGTTGACCGCTTCACTTACTTGGGAAGTGCCATCAGCCCCAACGGGTTGATCTCCGACGAAATCTCAGCACGAATACAGAGGGCTAGGTCCGCATATGCCAGTTTACGCCGTCTCTGGCGTAGACGTGATATCCGACTATCTACCAAAGGGCGTGTGTACAGCTCAACAGTCCGCTCTGTCTTTCTTTATGGCTGTGAGACCTGGCCATTGAGAGCGGAAGACATGAAGAGATTAGCTGTCTTTGATCATAGGTGCCTGCGTTCTATCCCCCGTGTCAAGTGGTATAATAAGGTGAGCAATATTGAGGTTAGGTGTCGAGTTCTAGGTAAGGAGGGGAAATCAATCGACGAGGCTATGAAGTTACATCGACTAAGATGGTTAGGACATGTGTGTTACGTATGCCTAGTCATCGCCTTCCTCGACATTGGGCAATGTTAGCTGATATAGGGTCAGGCTGGTAAAAAGCTAGCGGCGGTCAAACGAAAACATGGCACCAGTCAATGAAATCCACAACAGTTGGTATAAGCCGACGAACTACATAGGTAGATTAGACTTCTTGGCTGGTTGGGGTCTTCGGGATGGTAAAAACCAATGGTTGGAAACAATTGGTGACATGGCTCAAAATCGTTCTCAATGGCTAGCGCAGATGCATCCATTCCTTGTGACTTATGATTTCCAATGAAACTGTTTTGTTCTCCGTTATTACTATTCCTTTGTCTCACACCTCTGTTTACTGTCTCTAATATGCATTTCTCCTACTCTCTTCTCTCTCTTTGTGTGCTACATGGAGTGTGGCGACTTGAACTGCCGCACATATGTGCAAAGTTCTATGTCGAAAACAGACGAACAGGCGGCCAAAATTCGGATGGTTTCAACTAATTAGGTTCTTTGAACTAAGTCAAACCACTAACGCCGCTGATAAGCTTGGCCTCAAACGAGCGAAACAGCGTCCGTTGATTAGATCCCTTCGATCTGGTTAAAAAACAGTATGGTTTAGTGTTTCTTCATAGGTGCCTGCGTTTTATCTCCCGTGTCAAGTGGTATAATAAGGTGAGCGATATTAACTTAAGGCATCGGTCGAGTGCTAGGTAGATGGGAGGGAAAATCAATTGACGAGGTTGGAAAGTTACATCGATTGAGTGAAATGGTTAGGACATGTGTTATGCATTCATACACCTAACCGTCGACCGCCTTCTTCGACTGACGGGCAATGTTAGCTGACATAGCGTGTATCAGGTTGGAGAAGAGCCAGCGGTGGACAAACGAAAACATGGCTTCATCAGTCAAAGAAATCCACAACAGTTAGTTTAAGCTAGCCAGCTGGTTGGGGTCTTTGGGATAGTAAAACCAATGACGGCTGGAGAAAATTGGTGGTGACACGGTTTAAAATCGTTCTCAATGGCTGGTGCAGATGCATTCACTCTTTGTGATTTATCATATGCAATAAGACTTCATTGTTCTTCCGCACTACTATTCTTTTTGCCTCACATGTCTGTTTATTATCTCTCCTTTGAATTTGTCTTTACTCTTTTTTCTCGCTTTGTGTGTTACATGGAGGGAGTGTGGTAATTCGAACTGCTGCACATCTGTGCAAAGTCCTATGTTGAAACCAGTCAGTCAGTCACTGGTTGATGTGATTGGCATCAAACTAGACGTATCAACCAATCAATGGTATATAATGTCATGCATTTAAGATCCCAGTAAGTTTCTATACCTTCTCGTTACAGACACTATATCAGAGTTAAGCACACTACTAAGTTGATGTATAACAGACTTTACACTGACCCAAACATGTTAAATAAGGATTGAATTTCGAAAAAGAGTTTGTCACTTTGTATTTGAAAATCAGCATATAAAAAACTTTAAAAAAAGGAAAGTAATTTATGAAACTAAAAGTTATTCAATAATTCTGTGATAAACAATGAATCCACCAGCTCTACCGCTTTTTAACTCATTTAATGCAACCATAGCGACTCATTTCTTTACCTCACCAAGCCAGGAATAAGACTGATAAAGAGGGAAGGTTGGGCATAAGTCTGGGCTGGCTAGCAACCCCATCCCGTAAAAATAATAGACGACTGCTACCGAAGCTTCAAGCCTCTAGCTTGAAGCCCTTACGATCTCTTTCTCACGTTAGGTTGTATAATAAGGTAAGTAATGTTGACGTCAGGCGTAGAGCAAAGGGCAAAGGGGGAAATCAATAAACGAGGATATAAAGTTACATAGATTGAGATGGCTAGGTCACGTGCTGCGCATGCCTAACCATCGCCTCCCCCACCCCGACGGGCATTACTAGCTGATATAGTTACAGGTTGGAAAAGAGTAAGCGGTGGCCAAACAAAAACATGGCCTCATCAATCCATGAAATCCTTGACAGTTAAACTGGGTCAGGTAGGGAGATGCAGACTTCCGGGTTGGGGCCCTCGGGACTCTAAGAACCAATGGCTGGAGACAATAGATGACATGACTCAAAATCGTTGTCAATGGCGCAGATGCATTCAATCTCTGTAATCTTTTATACCCCTTTCTACCATTGCTCTTTCTGTTTCACTCTTATACTTGTCAAAACTCTACTGATTCTCTTCACTCATCTTCCTGTCTACCTTCGTGTGCTATTTGGAACGTGGCGACTGGAACTGCTGCACTTCGGTGCCAAGTTCTATGTTGAATCCAGCCAGCTTGAAGCCCTGTGTTCCACTGGGAATGTGAAGGAATTAAAAAAAATAGCGAAGAAGTCTTAGATTTATTCAACACTGGTTTTGCTATCCTAGTGTTGCTGATTTAATAAGAATTACATACTACTTTCTCAGCTTTACTCTAGTAGATACATAACACCACCGAAAAATTCAAAGTCAGTCTTCTTCTTCATCAGTCGCCTGTATCTAAAATAAACTAATTGGATTTGCTTTCAGTGATTTCGGTCAAAACAGTTTCTGAATTATCTGTTTCCACTTATCAGAATGCTGTATTCCCCTGTTGTTATTGTTGTTGTTGTTGTTTTGTTTTTCTAGGTACTCGAATTCAGTTCACATCAAAATACTGACCTCACCGCTACTCCACTTCATAATTGCCGGTTAAAACCTAAAACAGAATGTAGTTGGATGGAAGAGTCAAATAAAACAACAACAGATCATAATATTACAGGAAAGACTAGTCTTCAAATTTCTACATCTCTTTTGCAGACTAATGATATAAAGTCAACAGACGATGATGTTCTTCCAGCACACATTCAAAATCCCATGTTTAATACAGACACAGGCTCACCAACACAATATGCACTTTGTGGTGATGATATTGGTTGGGCTATCATTCAGCGTCAACGAGAACTACGATTACTGTGTACATCTAACCATCGAGTTCTTCGACGACTTGTCCAGGCAGCTAGACGAGATATGCAACGCCAGGAAATACAAAGACGTTTAGCAATTGCAGATGCTGATGTAAGTTTATGGTGATTATTTTACTTTCTGAAAAAGAATGCCAATTTTTTTTCTTTATATTATCCAATGCCTTATTATTGTTGTATTTTTGTTTATCTAGGTTATTGAAGCGTATAATAAACTTGAAAGTTATCGTCCACAACGTAGGCCTCCTCTGAAACGTGATCGTGATATAGCCTGGAAAGCATTGAAAGAACGTCGTAAAATACTCAAGGAATTGGAAGCATTCGATGCTAAGTCTCCTTAATAATAACAATAATAAGAATAATATGTGATGATTAGATATATAATATTTTAATTTTTATTGTATTTTCCAAATGTGTACATAGTTAAAAAGCCTTTCTTCTTTTAAATGTAATATAAACAACTTTTTTTTCAGCCTTAACCGCATTACTTTATACGCAAAAAATATCTGCATATATCCCCATGTTGTAATAGACTCAGTTTACTTACCCGCAAGGAAATTTGTTTTCTGTTCTACTTCAGTTCTTCTCTTTCTTTACATAAATGTATACATGAATATATATATATATGCTTTATTAGTTTTATGTTTATCTTCATTAAAACTCGTATTGTACAGATATTATTAACAAATATGTGCGTCTACACACACCTAGCAGTAGTAAGTTGGGTTACCAACAGTCTTCTTTTTGTGTTCTTATTCCCTGATACACCCAGTTTATTAATTAAATCATCTTATCCTTCTTTTGTTTTGTCCATATATGCATAGAAGAAGCATATTGCAGCTATTGTATTTCTGTTGTAATATGTGCGTGTGTGTGCGTGTGTAGTATTATGTATTGATTTATCATAAATTGGTAGACGTTAATAATAATAATATAAGTATTTGTGCTACCTATCAAATATTCTTTCTGCCTGATGATGAATGATAGTAATTATACAACTGCATGTATGTTTTCCTTTGCTTGAAGAATATAATATATTTGATGATATGATTTTCTGTAATGGTGGTGGTGGTGGTGGTGGTTATCAGAACTCTTTTTTCTCTTTCATGCCACTGTGTGAAAGTCCCCATTCAGTCATATAAAAGAAAAGAAGGCGTTCAGCGAAGAGTCTCTTTTCGGCGAATTCATTCACTGAGCTGTACAATCACATATTTGTACAATTTTGTTTGTGTGTGTGTGTGTACATTAGATTTATAAAGTTTAGATAATTATGTAATATAAGTGCTCCAAAAAGATTTCTCTATATGAACACCTACAGTTCAATGGAGACCAATCTACAGAAATACTGAGAAATCGGCTCTCCCGCTCATTGAAGAAAACCTTCGTTGCAGCTGAATTACGACTGACGTTCTCCGCGAGACCAATGATTCGTGTGTCCGTGAAGGATAAGCTACCGCTGTTGGCCTCATCTATGTGCATCTACCAATTCACCTGCTCGTGTGGAGCCAGGTATATCGGCCGTACTCAGCGTTCGCTATCCAAACGCGTCAACGAACATTTACCTTCATGGTTTTATAAAGGAGAAAACCGATGCCCCCACAGCTCGATCCTTGAACATTTGATCAATTCTGGACACCAAGTCAAACCAGAAATAAACTTCAAAGTTATCTACAGAATACAAGGCAGTCTTGCTAAAAGTGTACGGATCAAACTTCTCCACATTGCAGAAGCAATGGCAATTCATCTGCTAAATCGTGAACTCTGCATACAAAAGAAATTCGTTCATTCATTATATCTCCAATGGACGTTATCTTTCTTAATTTCAGTCTTACTAATTGTATTATTTTGTCTTTTGCATTTTATTATTTCACATCTTCATTTGTATTATTCTCTACTCCACCCTTTTGTAATCTCTACCCTCATTAACAATGTTACTAACTTGACCCACGTCCAATTTCTAGTCAACTGCGTTACGTCATCCGACTAACTTACTTATTTCCAACTGTATTATTCTCTAACCCCACCCTTATTTGATTTTAAACACCACTCATTAACACTGTTGCCAACCTGACCTAATCTGAATTCTACTCATTCAATCAATTCTATTTTATTTTCCATCTTGACGTTTGTTTCCAAGCCAAAAAATACCTATATTACGTAATTATCTAAACTTTATAAATCTAATGTACACACACACAAACAAAATTGTATAAATATGCAATTGTACAGCTCAGTGAATGAATTCGCCGAAAAGAGACTCTTCGCTGAACGCCTTCTTTTCTTTTATATGACTGTGAAAGTCGCTGATTTATTAAACACCTCTGAAATGGGCTCTTTACTTTTGTTTTTTTTTCTTTATCCTTGGCAAAGAGTTACTTCTTTTGTTGACAACAAAAGGAATATTTCCAAGGATGGATGTGTCATTAAAATTATAAAATTTTAGATCACAAATTTCGTTAGTTGGTTAGAAACTAACATAACATTAAAAAATAACTGGCTCCAACGGTCTACAAGCTCTCCTTGTAACCAAAAGGTCATGGGTGTTTGAACTTCAGTTGATGCGTGCGTACTGATGAGGAGTCCCAGACTAGTGGGACGAAACAGCTGTCCAGTACTTCCAGCTGGTTTTCCAATAGTCCTCTAACCGATTTCAGTTTTTTCATAATGAAATCGTGAAACTAATCAAATAAATCCCTGCAAACCAACATTTAAATAAGCAAGTTGAGTGATGTAATCTAATTGGCAGGGTTGAGTAGAGAGCTCAGCTAAAATTAACATTGAACTGAAATCAAATTAACAACAGTGGTAATAAGGAGTGAGGATTTAATAACGGATGGGGGAAGAAAATATATTGTACAACTAAGAAACAAACCAACAAGCAAGAGAAAGACAAAACAAAAATTACGTATTTGGTATTAAGGTAGGTCAGGTCCACTGTAGATTTAATGACTGAACAGACTTCTTTCGTATTCAGAGTTCAGGATTGCCATTGCTTCTGCGGTTCGAAGCATTTTTTATTATTTTGGTATTTCAATGCTAATTAACGATTTGGGAGTGAATTTTTTTCGCATTTTCTTTGTGCTTCGCATTCAGTTTACTACTGCTAGTTTCACTGTAAAGAGACCTGTTCTTATTTATTATTTTCTTGGTTTTTATTCCTTTACGATCCCAGTAGATCATAGAGCTTTGAAGCTCAGGTAGCAGTGGTGGGTCTGCTAGCCTCATGCCTAACCTTCCCTCTCCGCCGGTTCAGCGAGGTTTATCAGTGCGTTGGCCAAGGATCGAACCCCGGATCATATGTGTGGGGTTGGCGAGCATTCTACCGCTAAGCCACTGACGCATGATACCCATATTAGAGATTAAATAAAAATCCCATATTAGTTTGTTTATTAGATGTATTACACAGTGATGAAACAGTATTATTTACTGGATGACAAAGTTTCGAACAAAATTTATTCTTCATAATCATTTCATCAATTATAATCACACGACTTCGAAACTTGAGTTTTATAGTTTTCTTTGTCCTCTCCTATCTGTCATCGCTGGGGTAGTAGAATTTTCCAGATATCTGGGATACGTGTTGAATCATTCCCATTACATGTATTTGCAGTTGATTCGATAAACGACAGCTTCTGTCATCAATCTCTCCCTCCACCCTGTGACATAAGATTTTAAAACTGTCATCCTATCCCATCCTATTGTATGGTTGTGTGTAACTGAATGTAGTGCTATAGCTGAACTATCCTCTAGATTTCTTATCTTATTCGGGTCAACCAATCTAGATTTTGCTGCTAGGTTTTTATGTTCGGCTAGTCTGACTGCGCCTGTTCTACTAGTTTGACCTATGTACTTGACCTGATAATCATTCCAGGCAGCTTATTAGATAAACTAAATTGTTTTGTTTTAAAGGCTCCACAGTTAGGATTCTTTGACCGACAAAGCTTGTTTATAATTAAGTTTGATTTAACACCTGTCCCAGATATCTGGAAAATTCTACTACCCCTACGACAAATAGGAGAGAACAAATAAAACTCAAAGTCGTATGATTACAATTGATATGATTATGAACAATAAGTTTTGTTCGAAACCTTGTCATCCAGTAAATAATACTGTTTCATCACTGTGTGATACATGTAATAAACAAACTGATATGGAATTACTTACTACCACAGTGCCCAAGTTTTACACATATATTAAATAAAAATTATTGACATCAATTTAGGTTAGTTGGGATATTTTATTGATTTCACTTAGATTACACCTTCCTAAATGAAGTCACTCACTTATTTATTCTATACATCTTTTCCAATGATTATCTAGTTGATATGCATTTGTTGTAAAATCCCTGAATAAGTAAGTGTATTCCTTTTTCATCATAACAATAAAAGTTCAGTAATTTTAAAAAAATTAGGGATCTAACAGTGACAAGTCTGAGAGCTAGGACTTCGTACTTATGGGCTTTCATTAAAAAACCAAAACAAGCATTGATAACATTAAGGAGGCTCTTATTCCTTCTGAGACTGAACAAATTTCCGTCATGGTATGTGCAGGAGGAAACAGCTTTGATTGCTATCTACTTTTCAGTTCACATACTCCGGTAATAACTATAAAACACGTGTTCTCCGACTAAACAATTCTTAAATTAGAGCTTTCACAAACATCCCAGTCATCACTAGTATACTTTCTGAAAAGACTGTCTTATCGTGTTTTAGCTCTTATATGTGGATTATTGAAGCAAGAATCTTTTTTAATCAATAATTTTCTCAACAAATGTCGTCATCAGCTAGCTTATCATTCAAAAACTATTCCCATCAGGTATTTATATCTAAAGAAATATATAATTTTAAGGAGTTAAATCCCATAATTCTCAGTGATAATAAATTCTTTAACCTTCATGTCTTACTGTAGTAACTAGTAGGACTTTTATTTTTTTAAATATTTGTTTCTGAAAGATTTGGTTTGATGAATAATTGTGCCTTCATGTAATCGTCGACACTCACTAATATACTGTTGTAACCAGAAGGTCCTGGGTTCGAACCCGGGTGGGTGCGTACTGATGAAGAGTCCCAAACTAGGACGAAACAGCTGTCCAGT